AGCTGGCTCAGGATGGTGCCAGTGGGGTCTGGGTGCTGCCAGGGTGTGCCCAACTGAGGGGATCCCAGGAGCTGTACCCCATCTATTCCTGGGTGTCAGAACTGGGGCAGGGGTCTTGCAGGGGTCAGCAGTGCTGGAGGGAAGGGTAGGCTGGAGGAGTGGGATTGGAGGGATGGAGGCAAAGGGTGGGCTGGGATGAGGTGGGTGCTTTCTCTCCAAGGAGGCTGGGGGGCTCAGGCCAGAAGCAGCTTCCACTCTGCCCAGGGAGCAGGAAGAATCGTCCGCCAGGAGAGCGAGCAGGACCAAACAGGTGATGGAGAGCCTGGAGAATCTGTGAGATCTGGTGACACGGGCATGTGTGCCTCCCTGTGCCCTCTCCTGTCCCTTCCTGCTGGGCTCTGAGTGGCTGCTGTCTCTCTGGGCCTCCCCTGCCTGTGCCTCCAGAAGCCCCTGTGGCAGCCCTGGGCTGTGGTGCAGACAGGGAAGAGGGAATCTCCCTGTCCACCATCCCTGACCACGTATCCTGTCAGGCTGCAACAGGGCTGGGCAGTGCTGCACTGCTCCACACCTGAGAGGGGTGGTTTTCCCTTGGGAAATAAGGGGAAAGCAGCCCAGACTCCTTTGCCTGTTCCCTGATGCCTGTGTCCCCTTGACAGGGTCCTTCTCCACTCAGCCATTCCTTGCTGGCAGCGCTCACGTAGTCCCTGTGCTCAAGTTGTCACACGCTGAGGACAATGAGGGTGTGTCATCCCTGTGCTTTCAGTCCTTGTCCCCCTTTTTCTGCACTCCATGTATGTGATGAGGACTGCTCACATGTGGTGCTGTCTCCCAGGGCAGGACAGGCAGGTCACACTCGATGACGATGACCTCGCATATGACATGGAGGGAGAGGAGGATGACTATGATGAGGTCCCGGAGATGGACAGCTTGGAGCAGCCCACAGGGGATGGTGAGCTTCCCTGCACTCATCTGGCACTCAGGGCTAAGCTGTTGGGGGAAACCATGGAGCTGCCCTGGGTTTTGCTGGGCAGTGGGTCCCTGTGCCATCTGTCTGGGGGATTTGGGGTTTCCTGCCCTCTTGCTGGTACCTGGGAGGGCTCCACCTTCTCTGTCACTGTGCTGCCCACACCATGCAGACCTTGTGCTCTATCCCTTCACTGAAGCCATCACCAGCTGTGATGGGTGCTGTGCTGGGCTGGTGGGACCTGCTGCCCTGGCAGGTTTCCTGTGCTCTGGTCATGAGCCACGGGACAGATCCCAAAGGCCCCAGGAGATCAGGGAAGCCCTAGGGCAGCAGCCTTTGGAGAGTCCCTCTATAATGCTTTAAAGGGGTGCTGTGGCCATCATGTCCCCATCTCTTTGCTGGGAGCTGTCCCTGCAGACAGAGTGGAGTCTCCTGCCCTCAATTCCAGCACTTGGGCAGAGCACAGAGAGTCTCCTCCAGCCAAACCCTTCCCATGCTCAGCCTTGTCCTTCTGGGCTTCCCCTCCTGTGCCTGGTGGGTCTCGCATCCCTGCCTGCCCTGACAGCAGGGTTTGCCCACAGCTGAGCCCTGCAGGCTGCCCCTGGACGAGGGGCACTGCCAGCGCTACACCCTACGCTGGTACTACAACCAAAGAGCCACCGAGTGCCGGCCCTTCGTCTACAGCGGCTGCCAGGGCAACCCCAACCGCTTCCAGAGCAAGGAGGAGTGTGAGCTGCACTGCAGGACAGGTGGGCAGGGCTGGGCACTGCAGCACCTCCACGCTGTGCCCTGTGCTCAGCCATGCAGAGCTGGGGACAGCGCTGCTCCCCGAGCTCTGACAGCGCCTCGCTTCTCTCCACAGCTTCCCGTGGTGGTGCTGGCAGCAAGGAGGGAGGACAGCCAAAGCTGTAGGTGCAGGCAGTGTCTGGGCAGGCTGGGCTGCCTAGAGCTGGCCCAGCTGCTGCCCTGGCCGGGGCTGGGCTGCCCGTGGGGGCAGCAGCCATGTGCCCACCAGCCCCAGCAGGAACCTGGTGCTATTTCTAACCTGTCTTTATGCTGCTTGTGGGTTTTTCATATCAGTGTATTGTCATTAAGGTGAAATTTATGTCAAATGGGAAACTGCCTCCCAGCAAGGCTCTGAACCCCCTTTCCCACTAGACTGTTCTCAGTTTGATTTTTAAATTATTTCTGGCCAACAGAAGGGTTCTCAGCCCTGTTCCCTCTCTCTGGAAGCAGAGGTAGGACTTTACATAGTTGGGCTCCCTCCCCTCCCATAATACCCTTGTACCCTTTCCTGCCCCCCACAGACCCCCAAACTCCCTCTCTGCTCCCTGTCTCTGCTGGGAGAGCTGCCCACATCCCTGTGCCAGGCAGTGCCTCCCTGCACAGCATCCCTCACCCTGCAATGAGCTCCATCTGAATAAATTTCACCTTTACCTCAACTAGGGCCCAGTTCCCCTTTTGTGGCTGTGATGGTTTGGCAATGACCTGTGGGGAGACTGGAGGCTCTTGCCATGTGCTGCCCTCCAGCTCACACATCTGCCAGCAGCACATCTGGCTTTAACCTGGGGGATCTCACCTGCCTCCCCAGGCCTGTCAGGGACACCCTGAGGATGGTGCTATGTTAGAAGCGGTTCCTGCTCGCCCACACTTACTCTCAAAGGCTTTGTGAATGTGATGTTGCAGCCCCTGCTTCCCCCCATCCCCAGGGCTGGGTAGGGATGTGCCCTTCACTGCCCCAGAGCCCCAGGGCTGCTGGCTGGGCTGTGTGGCCCCACACGTCCTGCTGTTCTCTGTGTATGTTATATACAGCAAATGTCTATGTGTACAATGCAGGAGGATGTGTATTAAAGCTGTGCTCACAGGGACATGTCACATTCTTGGCTCATTCTGGAGATGCCTGTGGAGTTTGGGGACAGCTCTTGACTCACCATGCCCCCTGCCCCTGCCAGCTGGGCTGCCCTTTGCAGCAGCCCACTGCACTGGCTGGCAGGGCTGGCTGAGGTCCCTCACCCTCCCAGGGAGCCCAGTGCCCCATCCCTGTGCCCAGCACGTGCCCAGCTGATGCAAGCCAGGCCATGACCCCCTGTGCAGGCCCTGACGTGTCAGCACGTGGCTCTGTGCTGCTGCATGATGTGCTGTGTGAATCAGTGCTGCCAGCTAATTTTGGCTACTGGGCGTGAGTTCCTGGCTGTCCCTGGGAGGAGGAACAAGGCTGGCATTATTTCTGTTCCCTGCTTTCCTGGGGAGAGTGGCATAGGCTGGGTCACCCATGGGTTCAGACCACAGGGGTGGGCAGAGCCCTGGGTGGTCTGAACCCTGGGCGCCCTGACTCCTGCCCTTGGCTGTGGGGCTGAGCACCCACAACTCTCCTCATGTGGTGTCCACACAGCCTCAGAGCCTTGGGATGCTCTCACACTCCCTAAGGGGGGAATTTTGGAACAAAACCCTTGTATAAGGGGCTCACCCCACCTGGGCAGCTGGGCCATGCTGGAATGGTGCAGGTGCCTGCAAACCACTGGTGTCCCAGCTGGAGTGCATTAAGGTGAGCTGCAAGCCACTGGTGCCCTGCAATCCAGTGGCCAAAGCAGTGCCTGGGTTTGGCACAGCAGGGAGATGACATGTCTCTGGACATGCCTTCCATGTGGCCAGGGAGCCTGTCAGGACACAGTGCCAAACTGGCACCAGGAGCTGTCCTTGTGAGGCACAATGCCCATGGTCCCAGCAATCTGCATGTTCTCTCCCTCCCTGAAGTGATCACGGAGCCTGACAGGAGCAGGGAGGCCTAATTAGATGGAGAAAAAACATCTTGCAAGTCAAACATGGAACAATTAGAACTGAGCTGTCCCAGGTTCCCGGAATCCCCTCTGAACAGCTGGGGGAGCTGCAAGGGGGCAACACCCACCCACATCCTGGGATGATTTCATCTGCCATTAGGCAAAATGTATTAAAAACATTTCCACACTGCCCCCCCACCTTCCCCCTGTCACTGTCACCCCCTCTGCGGGTCAGAGGTGGAGCTGGGACAGGATAAGAGCCAGGGCTTGGCAGGGAGCACAGCAAACCTCCAACTTGTGGTCCCTGCAGCCTGGGAGCACTGCTGAACATCGAGGACACGAGGACCTGCTGCAAATGGTGAGGCTGTGCTCTTAGGGGTGCTTTTCAGGGGCTTTTGGTTGGGAAATGTGTTGCAGGGGGTTAGGTGCTCTCTGCAGTGAGTTAACCACCTCTGGTGCTTTCTAGAGGGTTTCACCCCAGAGATGCTCTGCTGGGTGACTGATTTTGGGGAGAGGCAGCGATACAGCAGGAACACCTGCTCTGACCCCCACCCCACACCCCAGCACCCTGACCCCCACCCCATAGCTCAGCATCCTGCAATCCCTGGGGCGCTCCCTGTGACCAGGGTAAGGCATCGGCTGGAGAAAGTTGCTGAGGCTTGACACAGCTCAGGACCTGTGGCCAGTCTCCTGCCCCAATATCCTGTGTATGCCAGTCCAAGTGGCTTGTGTCCCCCCTTGGTGGGTGGCTTTTGCCCCAAAGAGCCCAGCAACACAGTGGGGAATGGCACTGCCAGGGAAGGAGTGGCAGGAAGAAAGCTCCAGTGCCCGCCCTGAAACCCCAGGCAGGCATTTCCCGGGCCAAAGGGCAGGAATGGGCTGGGGAGCAGCCACAGCACCCTGGCAGGACAGGGCTGTCTCCTTCCCTGGGTGACAAAGGGCTGAAGGGTGTGAAACTGAGGGCACAGCGTCTGGCCAGGGGCTGTGTGAAAGGACAAGGACACCCGGGGGATTTGCTTCCCATGCCCCCTTCAGCCTCCCCCAAACTCCACACCCTGTTCAAGAGTGTTACAATCATGATGGAATAATGAAGGGCTCCTGAAAGGAGGGTGAAGGCGCACCAGCTGCAGGGAGTGGAGGGGTTCTGTGGTGGATGTGACCTGCCTGGGGGCTGTGAGGCAGTGTCAGGGTGATGGGAGGGATGCTCAGAGCCAATCCACTGCTCCCTGCAGGCACCCCCGGGCACGCTGCGAGGCAGGATGCTGCTCTCCTGCCTGCTGCTCCTCGGGCCACCAGCAGGAGCCCGGGAGGGACCCAGCCGTGAGTGGCTCTCGGCAGCCCCCCGAGGTGTGGATGGAGGGAAGCTGCTGAGGCAGGACAGCACCAGCAAGATGCTGCCAGGTGTCTCCAAAATGAGGAGGGGTGACGATGGCTCTGGAGCCGGGTCTCATCCAGATGAAGCCAGCCTGCCACTGCAGGAGGGATCAGAAAGACAAGCCCTGCCCTGGCTGATGAGCCCAGCCACCGAGAGAGCAGCTCCAAGCAAAAAGAGGAGGAAGGTGTCCCTGTCACTCGATGTCCACACTCACTTACTGAAAATCCTGCTCGACCTGGCCCGAGAGAAGGAGCTGCAGGACAAGGCAGCTGCCAATGCTGAGCTGATGGCCAGGCTGGGGCGCAGGAGATGAACTGTGCTGGGACCCAGCAGGGCTGGAGAGGCAGCAGGGCTGGCACAGGGAGGTGTGGAGCAGCATCGGTGTGTCTGCAGGGAACTGACATAGCACTTCATCCCCCTGGCCCCAGTGCTCGTGGCACAGGCAGCAGCCATGGCAGGACGTGATTTAACAACTCTCACCTCAGCACCACTAAGAAACAGCTGGGTTTGCCTTGGCCAGTGCTTGAGCACAGCTGGTCCCAGCCCCAGGCACTACAGGGATTTCTGTGCTGGGCTTTGCTCCCTGCCCATCTACCACCCAGATGTCTCCAAAGGGGCTGCATCCAGCCAGGCAGCTTTTCCTGGGTGCTTCTTCTCTCTGGGTGACTGAAGCACACAAAATCCTCCACAAAGCCTGGCCAAGCCTCAAAGCCAGAGTTTTGAGTGAGCGTGCCCAATAAAATGTGGCATCAAACACAGCTTGTGCTTTATACCTGTTCTGTACCCCTTTCACAGATGTCTTTTATGAAAAATCCTTTCTTTAGGATTTTTTCTCCTGAGAAGCTGAGAGGAAACAAAATGTAAACCACGGTTATCTGCTGCTGTGGAATGCAACAGGTGCATCTGTGATTGGTCTCATGTGGTTGTTTCTAATTAATGCCCAATCACAGTCAGCTGGCTTGGACTCTCTGTCCAAGACACAAGCCTTTGTTTTTCATTCCTTTTTTTTTTCTATTCTTACCTAGCCTTCTGATGAAATCCTTTCTTCTATTCTTTTAGTATAGTTTTGATATAATATATATCATAAAATAAAAATCAAGCCTTCTGAAGCATAGAGTCATGTCCTCATCTCTTCCCTCATCCTCGGACCTCTGGGAACACTGTCACACACCCCTTTACACTCCCATTTTGTGTTCCTTTTCTCCAGAGGTGCTGTGAGGGCATGTGCTGGGCCAGGGCCAGCATGGGAGGTCATTAAATTCCACATGGCACCAACAGCAGAGGCAGCCCCTGACCCAGGGAGCCCACAGCAGCTCTGGAAATCGTGTTGTGCCCCTGGAGCTGCTGCTTCCAGCCCAGCTGGGAGATAAGAGCAGAGCAGAGCAGCGTGCGGCCGCCCCGTGCAAAGTACAGGGTGGTGCAAGCCAGGCTGAGGCAGGAGACACCTCCAGGGGGGCCACTGGAGCTGCTGGGGGACACGGCCATGCTCTTTGAGGAGGACTACCTGCTGCAGGGTGAGTGAGCCCTCGCACTGTGGGGCGGGCACTGCCTCTGGGAGGGGGGCAGAGGCGACTGGGGTGACCCCACATTCCAAGGAAGGGACGGATTTCAGGAAGGGATGTGCCAGTAGATGGTGAGGTGGCAAGCTGGGTAAAAGGTTTTTTGCCATCCCTACTTGACCTGAGGCTCAGGTGATGTCCAGGCAATGCCTGGCCCCTTGAGATACTCCCTGCACCCACTGGGAGCGTGCTGTGGGACTGAGCCTGGAGTTTGGGGTCCAGGGTAGAGACAAGGTACCAGCAGCAGTGGGGGACAGCGGTCATAGGAAGACCTGCCAGAGCTGGGGCATCCAAGTGGGACACTCCAGGGCAGGAAGCCTGAGTGACAACTGTTGTCCCCTGCCACTCCCAACTGTTCCTGGGACGCCGAGCCCGCGAGGATCTCCTCATTTCCATGTTCTGCCCCCGTGTCTCATCTGTCCTCCCCGAGACCCAGCGTGCCCCCACGGTTCAGCCCCCTCTGGCCCTACTGCCCCCTCACCTCCCCAGCTCAGGGATCCCAGTGCCACCCCCATCACCAGTGTTTCCTCTGTTACCGGTGCCTCCTGCCCTGCGCTCTCTCAGCCCCAGTGTGCCGAGCAGTGACCCAGGGTCCCCAGCAGTCCCGGGGTCCCTCCAGCGCGGACCCCTACCCGGACACCCGCCAGCCCCGCCCCCGCCCTGCCCTCCGCCAATCAGATCGCGCTATTGCCGATTGGCCCCGCCTCCTCCCTGTCAGTCACTGCTCCGTGTCACGCCCTGTAGACGTCAGCGGGGGCGGTGCCGCGCCTGTGCAGTGCGGCGGCCACGGTGACAGTGACAGGCTGGCAGGAAGGGGCGGGGGCAGGAAGGGGCGGGGGCCGTGCCGGGACCGGGACCAGGACCAGGATCAGGATCGAAATCGGGACCGGAACCTAGGCTGGGACTGCCACGGGACGGGAGGGCTGCAGCCACAGGCCCCTCGGTAGCACCATGCTGAAGAAGTTCGACAAGAAGGACGAGGAGTCGGGTGAGGGGAGGCCGGGGGCGCTGTGAGGGGAGCGACCCCTCTGAGGGCACGGAGGGGATCGGTGAGGGGGAGCCCTTCGTGGCTGCGAGGAGAGCTGGGAGGGAAGAGACCCCTCCTGGGGAAATGGGGGGGTCTGTGAGGGACAGAGGGAGCTGGAAGGGGAGGCTCGGTGCCAGCTTGGCGGCGGGGGCTTGCTGGTGTGCATGGAACCGGTGGGGAGCACTGTGGGAGCACTATGGAAGCACTATGGGAGCACTAGAGCAGTCTGCTGCCTCCTCCTCGCAGCCGCAGGATAAACTGGTTGTATGGGCACAGCACCCCGAGGTTACTGCCACATCAGCAGGTACAGAGCCTGAGACTAAATATTGAGCACATTAGCGCTGTTCACAGCTGCCCAGCTCTGGAACCAGGTGCGTGGGCCGGGTAGAATCCAGTTCATCGTTTCTGGCTCCACAATCACTGCTGCTTTCAATGGATCAGAAAATCTGAGAGCTCCAAGAAAACACAAAGTTTCATGCCTGACTTTTCAAAACTTTGGGCCGATTAATAAGGAAGAAGTTGGTATTTTATCTGGTGTGTAATTCAGGTGGAAGCATTGTATCATAAGACAGTGTTTTCTTTCATGGTTTAGCTTTGTGATATCTTTTTCATCGTCCTGTGAAGCTTTCTACACATCTTGCTCTGCATAACAAATCAGTGTGTCCTGGAGCAAATTGATTCAGCTTACATCTTGGTGATTGTTCTGTGTGACTCTGCTTTCTTTTTATCTTAATGGGCATTCAATGCTTTGCCCTTGTTTCCCTTTTCCAAGGCCTCCAGTGACATCTTGATAAGCAGAGAATTTAGTGAGGCAGCTCTTGGAGGGGAATTGCTCTTGGCTTTAATTTTGGGGACTGTTCTTCATTTGCACCTTGCCACACCCATCAAATTATTGACATTACCTATGCCTGGGGCTGGCAGGAGAAACACGGATCCAGTTAATTGGCTTTTGTATCTTTGCTTTCCATAGTTTTGCTAGCCTTGGATGACCTGCTCCCACTCCCTTTGACATGTCATTTTGGCCACAAAATTATGTTTCTCTACAAATCAGAATAAATTGTTGTTAGTTATCCAATGTTAGGAACTTTATGAACACACAACCTTTGCTCTGCCCTCCCTCTCCATGGAAGAAAACTGATGCAGGGTGCTGTGAGGACTAAGACTCCATATACAATGTATTTCAGGATCCTTAGTGCTATGAAGGATAAAGAGGTGATGCAGTGCTGTTCATGGCTGATTTAAGGATTGTAGACATGCTGGACCATGGAAATACTAGGCTGCTAGGCAGATTTTTGGAGCACATTAACATATTTATCCTAGAACTGGTTCATACTCATACTAGAGACATTTTTGCTCTTTCTCCTTGCTTTGTTCTACCTCTTCAACCTCACATAAGTGTCTGTGTTTTGTTCAGCCAGCTGCTGCCTTTGCAAACTTCTCCTGAGCCAGAGGAGGGCATGTTATGAACCAGGAAGGAGCCAGAGTGCAGATGTGTTTGCTTTTGTATGTAAGGCTTACTCTAGAGAGGGCTCCTGGCACCAGCCTAGGATGCTTCAAGCTTGGGTAGGTCAGATTTTGGCCCAGAAGAGGTTCTCTCTGGTGGACCAGGCTTTGGAGCAAGCACTACAACAACCCTGAAAAAGGCTGCATTCTGTCTCAGGGCCAGGCTGAACATAGATTCTAATTAAAACCTGCTTATCAATAACTAGCAGCCTTTGAAAAGCTGCAGCTCACAAATGCTTGGGAAGCAATCTAATGGAGGCCATGCAGAATGATAGTGCTTTTCCCTCTGATTATTTCATCCTGAATTGCTGGGGGATTCTAATTATTTAGTATAATTTACTCTGTTAAGTGGAACAATGAAAGTTACTTTGTGTCCAGCCTATCTAGTCTGCTATCTTGTTCTCTTAATTAGGGATAAAGCCAAAAATACTTTACTGGTGAATTTTTGTTTGGTTTATATGGGAGGGATAAAGCACTCCTGACTCACCAGTCTGGCAAGCAGTACCTCTTTCTGTCTAAGCTTTTGTTCCTAGGCCTATCCTTTGATGCTCTAACTGCCAGCAAGCTCCAGCCCAGGGTGGAAATAGTCTTGGGGGATACAGTGCAGCACAGTTATTTTACAGCTGATCAGTCTGCCTCAGCTCACATCAGTTACTTCTGGAGGGGATGGCAAATTGAAGAATGGGCAAATTGAATAATGTCAGTCTGCTCTGCCTTCCCTGCCTGCCATGAAGACATCCAATCAACATTACTTCAAAGAGGGTGCTCTCATTGCTTGGTGTTCGTGAAAAAATCACCCCAAAATGCTCAGACTGCTTTTAAAGTATGGGCATGGTTAAAAAATTGCTTCCCCATGGAAGTCTGTCCTTGGAGAGACTTTTACTCTCTTTGTTTTGCAGGTGGGAATTCCAACCCATTCCAGCACCTGGAGAAGAGTGCAGTCTTGCAAGAGGTAAATCTCCAGACCATGTCCTCTCTGTACCCCACTGGAGGGAGTCTCTCCCTCTCTTGAGTAGGTCACTGGAGAACTTCAGCAAGGAAATGAGGGGTTGTTACAGTCCTGCTTGCTCTGAGAGAAATGGACAACAGTTCTTATTTTATTACTGGACAGATAAAGGAACAAGGTTGAAATGGTCTCTGTAACAAATAAAAGACTGTGAACTATAAATAGTAATAAAAGGAATGAAATTATCTGGGAAAGCTCACCCCAAACCAGGATGATTG